AGCTCTCACGGTTATAGGTTCACGTCTCAAAGGAGAAGAAAATCAAGATATATGGGGAGAAATGTTAAAGAAATTGAGGAACGCGCCTGTTAAGACAGTACTACAAAAGTTGAAGATAAGTTACGATTCATTAGAATATGAGGAACAACAAATGTTTCTAGACATAGCATGTTTTTTCATTGGAACTGACAAAAGAATTGCCACCTTCTTATGGGAGGATCTCAAATTCTACCCAAGAATCGGATTGCAAATATTGATTAACCGTTCGTTAATAAAAATTGATGATCAGAATCAGTTGAGAATGCATGATCAACTAAGAGATTTAGGCAGAGCTATCACCTGTCCAGTAGATAAGAAGCCTTGGCATTGTAGCAGACTATGGGACAACGAAGCCGCCATGAAAGTCCTACGACGCAAGGTAACAATGGCGTCTACTTTTGGCCTATCTCATGTTCTCTAATGGTAGTCCCTAATTATTATTGTTTCTGCTCTTTTGCTTTAGATATTTGACCATTCTCAACATGCTGTTAGCATTTTCTTGGTAAAAGCTACATCCGATTTTGGCCTTTTGTTCATGAAAAGTTTGCATTCGTGATTATGAGGCTCAGAAAAGAGCTATTAAAATTGTGTATTATTAACTCTTTCTATTTTGCTCGTGTCGTTTTAAAATCATTTTCTAGCAGATTTAATACTGCTTCTTACTATATTACTTGTTGAAGACCGAGCATCCCACAGGTTTGAAAGTTTACTTTAAGCCACTTATAAATCCGGTCCCTCACACTCTAAAACACACAAGAGTCATTATAACCTTATGTTGACTGTCATTCTATCTTCCCAAAATATATCATCAATTTATTTTTGAAGTACGTTGTCGTGAGGATAAATACATGGATCACATATAATCCACCTTTTTCACTCTTGAAATCTTACTTTCATATGATATATGTGATAGTCTCCTTCTCCAAAAATTGAATTCATTATTCTATCTTCAAATTCCAACCGTGAATGCATGCAATTTGCTCGTGTGCGGGTTCTACTTTTTTTGCAACAAAAAGAAAGATTTCAGTTAAATTATTTGCACCTCAACTATTGGCTATCAACTTAAGATTATGTTCAATTTCAAGTAATAAGATGTTATGCGGTGGTTTTATACGTATGAAGAATTTTTACAATTTGTTTTCTAGGATTTATTATGCATGTTCACGATGTAAATCCAATATGATAATGTAAATGTAGAACTACGTGTACTTAATACAATAAAAAGTAAAGATTTAGTTTAAATTGTATTATTCAGTGAATGTTATTAACGTAATTGAAGGAAGCACCATGAAATATATCAATTTTTTTGAGTAATTTAGAAATACATAAGTATGTTAATAACATGGTTGGGTTAGTTGATAACTTGAAACAGCACTACATAACTTGGATGCCTCTTAGTCAATAATAAATAGAAAACTCTTATTTTCTTTTCACTTAAAGGACTGGTAAATTTAAAAATAAAAATTTAATTCAAATTCTCTATTGGCTTTTCTTTTATTGTCGCCTATATCAACTTACAGTCAAATTAACAAATTACATAAAAAAAAATTGGAAGATTGTTCAAGATACATTAATTATAAAGGAAGTGGCATAATTAACGATTTTTAGTTTTCATTATGAGCTCTGCGTGTGTACGATGGATCAATCATGTTCATTCATATGAAAGATGAGAACTCACAGGATTTTGAAACGTGATGCGACGTCACAAGGCTATTCTATTTCTACCCAGCTTTCATGATATATTCTTGTGTTTATCCTGGTGCTATGCACGGATCTAGTCATAGATATTTTGAGCACATAATTCAACATTAACAAATGATGTGCAAAATCAAACAACAGTAAATTACGACATAAGAAACTAAATAACAACGGGCATATGATTTTGTACATATTCATACAAAGTAATTTCCAATAAAAAAACCGAAAAGCAAAGATCGAAATTAAGAAATTAAATGATTGTAGGAAGTAAGTGACGGAGCAGTGAAAGGTGAAAGAAATTGCGTTCTTCTCGTTTTATTTGTCTTTAGTGTAATATGATATCCACCTCTATTCTGTAATGAACAAGCCTTGGTAAGTATAATTGTGTCTTTACGCGCATACACGGACAAAGAAGAGACAAAAATCTATTGTTAGATATTAGCAAAGAAAAACATTATAATTAACATATCAAATAAGATAACTTGCGGAGAAAAAAATAAATGAGAGAATGCAAAAAGAGGTAAACGATAATAATCGCTAACCTTTATTTTATTAATTCATATATTTTTGCATGAATTGGTGAATGCAAAAATGCACGAACAAATTCTTAAGATCGGGCCGAATTTTATGACTGATTGGGGCAAATTCAATGATGACTAATTGAGTAGTGTGCTCATCTAAGGGAAAATTACCTAATCAGTCCTAAATTTGTTGTGCGAATGTCCATTCAATCATAAACTTATCAATTTTGTTAATTAGTCCTAAACTTTTGTGCAAAATTCCAATGTAGTCCTTCCGATTAATTTTCACCATGATCATTTACAGTTGTCCTACATGGCACACCGTCACATCAGTAATTTCCTGCAAAAATTAGCCGCAATAACTACATTGGAATGTCACGCAACGATTTTAAGACGAAATCGGCAAAATTGAAAAGTTTAGAATTGATTGGACAATTTCTCCCTCGTCTGAGGATTAGTTGTTGAGCTTTCAGCTTGAATATCCAAAAACGAAGTCTCCATTTCAATAGACCAAATTCTCATTTCCATCCGGCCATATGCCAAAACCAAAAATATTTTGTGAATGGGAAGGGAATGAGTTGTCATGCTTTATGAATGCATAAGCTTAATTAGGTACTTTTTGTTTTTGAAACGTGTAACAGTTCTCACATATGTCAAAGGGACACCATATTTAGTTAGTTGTCAATACTAAGTATGTCACTAAATTTAATTTCAAAATTTTTAAGAAACCTTGACTAATTTCATATAGGAATTTCACTTAAAACATCAAAACTTGGGACATAAGAGTGAAAATTGACATATTACATGATCACCTAATAATAAAAGATCACATATATTTCTTTTTTCCTGTAAGTGTAGACAAAATGCATAGGCCACAATAACATGCAGAGTATACCAACAAAAGGAGGTTCGATGGTATTTACAACCCTCAATTTTATTTTATTTTTTGTAGGAGGAAAATGAAAAAATCGAGGCACTACGTCTGGACGAAAGGGGCTCCAGAGAGTTCATGAAGCGAGAGAGCTTCAAAAGAATGCCTAACCTGAAGTTCCTTCATTTGAGGGCCGTGGGTTTTGCTGGAAATTTTGAAGAATCACTTTCTGAATTAAGATGGCTCAAGTGGGAGAGATGTCCCGACTCTTTCGAGGCAACCAATGTTCATTTGGAGAAATTGGTGATGCTTGATTTATCAGGTGGTTATGCTAGTGGAAACCGTATTAGTGAAAATTGGAGAGGATGGAGTTCAATTAAGGTAAAGATGAAAAAGGCTTTCTCTTTTGTTGCATTTGATGGTAAAGCATTCTATTTTCTAACTACTAATCTTGGAACATGTTTCTTTCTTGTAGATGGAGAGGTTGAAAGTTCTCAATCTTTCAAAGTGCCGGGGATTAAAGAGCACCCCTAATCTCTCCGCATTTAAAAATTTGGAGATGCTAATCCTGGAAGATTGTCCGTATTTGGAGAAAATCGACCCTTCCATTGGAGATGTCAAGCGCCTTGTTTCCTTGAACTTGAACTGTAAGAGTCTTGAGAAGTTACCCGAACAACTGGGCGAACTAGAACATTTGGAGGAACTTGTCGTAGACCATATTGGGATAAAAGAAATCCCTCCATGTATAGAATCTCTAAAGAAGCTGAAGACACTGAGTGCCGGGACACGTTGGCTATTAACTGAAGTTCCCAGCTCAATTGGGAAGTTGGGAGAGTTGGTTGAGCTGGACTTGTCATTTACAGGTATTATAGAATTACCCGAATCTATTGGAGAATTGAACAAATTGAAAATTCTGAGGGTTTTTGAGAGCAAGATAAAAAGGTTACCGAGCTCTATTGGAAAACTGCAAAGCCTCCAAGAGTTAAATGCTTGCGGTGACCTGGAAGGAGAAATTCATGTTGATAAAGGTGGATTGTCTTCTCTAAAGACCCTTCGTTTACGGGGAACAAAAATTTCTCGCTTGCCAGAAAATATCAGCGAGCTTTCTTCTCTCGAACACCTCGATTTACTTTACTGTCATAAGCTTCCGTCACTCCCAAAACCTCCTGTTAGCTTATCATCCCTGCGTCTCACCTGTCGGAGCAATGAGCTGCCAGCGCTCTTTCACCTCAAGCATCTAAAGGATCTCCGCCTTTTTTCTTGCAAGTCTCTTCAAAGCATCCCAGAGCTCCCCTCCTGCATACAGACTCTTATCGTTTGGGGATGCCCCAAATTGGAAAGGTTGACAAATCTTTCTGATTTGGAATTTTTGTCGGTATTAGGGCTCGTGCAATGCTATGGGCTGAAGGAATTGGATGGATTGGAAGCTTTGAAATCCCTAACATGGTTGGACCTAAGAATACACATCTTGGAAGACTATGATGTAAAGGCAGATCATCTCCATGCAGTAGAAGGCCTTGAAAAATTGGGATCCCTGGAAGCGTTGGATATCTCTGGGCGCAAGCACATATATGTACTGGACCTTTCAAAGTCAGAGCATCTGAAGGAGTTGATTGTTAGGAATTGCAAAAGCTTAGTTGAAATTCGCTGCCCTAGTAAATCCCTAAAGCGCTTTGAAAGGAATGGGTGCGAGTCACTCAAGAAATTACCAGACTTTTTACCATCCGACGAGGAATTCAACTACGAGTTTGATGAGGAAGCCGACGAGGAAGTCAACGAGGTTGATGAGGAATCCGATGTGGAAGCTGATGAGGTTGATGAGGAAGCTGACGAAGAAATATGACCAGACTTTGTTTGTAACTATGTCCAAAGTAGCATTTTCTCCATGAGTATGTGGAAATTCCTTCTCATAAGATTCTCCAAGGATGTCCTCACTCATCCCAGTTAGCTAATACCGAAGTGAAATGGTGCTGAAGGCTTCTAATTTCACATGGAAAAGGACGCTAGTGTCTGAATTGTTGTGATGGTGATATGGCTTGTTCATTTTTTCCTTACTTCTTCTTTGCTAGCTTTCTAGTTGAATGGAATTGCTCCTTATCTCCTTCTGACTGTGGGAAAATGCAAAAGCTTGAGCTGCGATAATAGAAGTCCATTGGTTTCTTCTTTCACTAGGAGTTATCGGGCTCTGACATTGTGGTGTGTTGGAAGAACTTTTGCTTTTAACTTTCATCTATACTATTGCTTTTAGCATTTGCAAGGTGTCTTTTGTTCAAAGCTCAGTGCTTCAAACCTTCACAAAACATAAAACTTCGCATTTTTTGGCCAATTATAGCAAAATAATTATTGTCTTGCTGACAAAGTCAGGAAATACCTTTTGATTTCTAGGGCTCCGTTCGTTTGGCGGAAAATATTCTCCTTTTGGAAAATATTTTCCCGGAAGTCATTTTCCTGGAAAGTGTTTTCCCGGAACATAATTTTCCCGGTGTTCGGCACCAATATGAAAAAAGCTTCGAAAATATTTTTCGCCGGCGACCGGCGGCGGCGTCCGGCGGCCAGCCGACCGGCGGCCGGCGACCGGGGCGGTGGCGGCGACCGGCGGAGGCGGCCGGCAGCCAACGTTCGTGTTCGGCGGCGGCGGCGGTGGCCGGCGACCGTGACCGACGGCCAACGTCCGGCGGCGGCGGCGGCGGGCGACTCATGGCGCGGCGGCGGCCGGCGATCAGCGGCGGCGGCGACGGCCGGCGACCTTAGTGAAGTAGAAGAAGAAGAAGCTCCGGAAAATGATTTCCGCTTTTGAAGAAGCGGAAGTCATTTTCCGTAGACTTTAGCTTTTTTTGTGAGTGGGGAAGGAAAATATTTTCCCACGGAAAACGTTTTCCGCCCCCCGAACACCGGAAAACCCGGAAAATATTTTCCGGGAGAATATTTTCCGCCAAACGAACGGAGCCCTAATGTTGAAATAGAAACACCATTGAATTCGTTTCTATTTCCATGGCTGGTTTTCATTCTGTCATCCTCTATATGGATCCTCTATAATGTGATGGTCTTGCTTTTTGAAGGTTACGAACTCTTTGCTAGTCGACTGTTGCCCGCACCAATGCGAAATTCAGAGTACAGAGCTGATTGAATCTGACAGTAAGTGGCTTTTCTTTTAAGTTACCTGACGATTTCAGTTCACAAAAAGGCGTTGAAGAATGACGTTGAGTTGAGTCGTGCTTGAGAAATATCTGGTCGTTGGCCAGTTCAACTATGAATTTGAGGATTGCATCTACAGCAGGGATGGGTTATGTTTGATGCAGGCATGGAGACTGCTTTGGCCAACTTATTGTCTGTTCCTTAGCTTTTCAACGTTTTTCTTTTCTCAGGTTGGGCAAGAAGGTTGGTCCACGATTGAGCCATGCCCTTGATCGCTGGTGCTGCATTGTTCCATCGTGGAGTCTCTCCCGGATTCGCCTGCAAAAAGAGACGCTCGGCTCCCTCTTAAACTGAGAGCTCGTGTAGAAAGAAAATGGAGAGAAGAGAGAAAGAAAAAGATCTGATTTTGGAGATCACTAACATCTCCTACTAAACAAAAAATATAGCAGGTATAATACCGTTTTCTGTGGAGATTACCTGCTTCCATTAGTATTTTCAGTTTGGACGGGGCTTTTCTTTGATACGATATTATTTTCCTGTCTTAATTCCAGCAACCGGAGGAAGTTGTTTGAGCAAAGTAATTGTAATGCTTCAGTTTTATTTGGCTCGTGATCATGATATGAATAAAAAAGGTCAGAATGCCTGCAAAAGGATATTTGATGTCTTCAGTCAAATAGTACGAGATTCTTCATTCTCGACGTGGTTTAAATCTGCGCTAGTGTAAATAAAGTAATACTTCTCTCCAATTTCTATGATGTAGAGAAATTCACTATCCGATGGATTCTAGAAACTCCTCATGCATATGTGATCTTGATTGCATTTTATTAACTCGTTACTTGGTCATGGCAGTAGGCAGTGAAGGTACCATAAAACGTGTTCTGCATTTTCTCAAAGCCAGGGCACTAATGTCAAGATGATGAATCTCCATGGATCTGTATCAAACTTTATTTATAGTTTAATATGCCAATGTGAAGATTGCTCTCTCTGAAGGCAGATACATGGCCTTGATCAGGCTGAAAGTATTATCATCAGCGGTCGAAACATGGTACAAATCATGAAGCCACTCTTTCCTTGTTTTTTTTCATTCCTTCAATTATCATCTTGCAATTTCGTACCTTAACATCATGCACAATTTTTTACTTCAGTTCGGTCATTGTTTGGTGTTGACAATGTCTACACCTTAGAGGCTTAAAAAGAATAGAGGATTTCCACTATATTGTGGATAACGGTGCGAGCTCCAAACCAGAAGTATGGAGGAAGTATTAAATCAACCGTATTGCTTTCATGTTTTTGGGATAAACATGACAAGTAATCAATGGGTGGCTAGAAAGGTGATTTGCTTAAGTCCTTTAATAGTTGAGAGCTGATCTAGATCTCTTATTGCCATATTTTCTTGAACTAGAACTCAAATCAGAATGATTTGTTACAGCTGCCATTAAACAAAATTGGAAAGCCACTCCTGCAATAACTGTGTTTCAGCCAGAAATGTGCTCCATTTTTGGCTAGGCCGATGGCAGGGACAAAAGATCTTCAGAGCTTGGGTATTACCCAGCTGTTAATGGCACCAAAATGAAGTGGGAGGAGCTGTGCACTTGATTTTTAATTTTGTGTAGAGCTTAATTGGTGACTGCATCAGAAGCGAGGACTTCCAACTATGATTGTAATCTTGACATTGGAATAGCTCATTGGCAATATTAGGAGTGCAAATTGACTTGAAAGATACTAGTCATGTTCTTTTATTATCATTTTCACAACAGTTTGATGCATGTCTGATGAGAGAAATCATGTTCTTTCATTATCATTCACGCAAAGAGAATACCAAAATGATGGAGAACACATATGCCCCATGTAGAATCATGAAGAATATTTGCATGGCAGCAGAACCACAGAGATCGGGTTCTGGAGATCATCCGTGTTTCCTAGTAATTGTAAATATAGCAGGTAAAGTATCATATTCAGTTAAGAATACCTACTTCACATTAGTAATTTCAGTTTGGTATGGGGTTGTGTCGATGTCTTATTGTTTCTTGTCTTATTTGAAGTAATCTTGGGGAAATTGGTTGACTAAGTGACTGCAATGCTTCAGCATCATCTGGTTTGTGATCCTGGTGCGTATGAAAATAGATAAGAATGAGTTCGAAGTACATTGCATGTCATTATACATCATCAGTCACAAAGAAAGACTCTTCATCCTTGACATCACATGAATATGTTCTTATGCAAACAGAGAGTATTACCTTTCTGCAAGTTCTATTAAGGTTCATTTCCTAGAACAGAGGATGTTTATTATGTGTTTTTTTTTTTTCAATTCATTCATGCATAATAAAAAAAGAAAAACTTTGTTGCTTGTCAGCAAAAGTCCTGCCCAAAAGCTTAAAGTATTAGTTAGAGGTAGACTCAATATATATAACCCCCGTTGAAACCTTTTATTTAACTAATGTGGAATAACACTTCTAATAATTGATTGATCATGGCAACTACTCATGTCTATGTGGTTTTGATTGCATTTTTAGTAGCTTATGTCCACTTATTCTATCATGGATTAATAAGCCACCGGAGGCACCATCATAACATTTTTACTTTTCTCAAATCCAGGACACCGATGTTGAGATGATGAATTTCCATGGATCTATATGAAACTTTGTTGTCAATTGAGAAGCTAATGCATAGATTGCTCAATCTGATGATGGATTCATGGCCTTGATCCTGTCAAAAGTAACATCCTGTCCGGTGGAAATCTAGTAGGAATCATGTTGTGCTCTTTCTTGTTTTTCGTCATGCCTATATCCATCTCACATGTTCATGCCATCAGTTAGTGTCTTTATGTATCGATTTTGGATCATTCTGTCCCTTCTTCATCTGGTGGTGACAATTTCACATGCCCCTGATACTTTAAATGACCAAGAGCTTCACTGTAATTTCGACAGTGGTATGAGATCCAAACCAAATATTTGGGATATGGATGCAACAAGGACATTCTTTAAGCCGATTGCATTATGTTGTGCTTTATGAATGGGAGCTGTCTGTCATAGTAATGAAAACAGGTGCTTTACTTCACTCTCAGAAGGTTTGAGAGCTGATCAATGAATGTCTATTTTTCTTGAACTTAGTAACTTAGTAACTTCTCTTATTTTTTTTTTTTGAAGGACAGTAATTTTCCTCAAATTTGGTTATGTCGCTTGTGAATTTTTCATAAATGTCATGATTTTGGCTCTTAAATTGTACTTTATGATATTTATAAACATGCATATAAAGATTGCAATTAATCTCGTGTAACTAAGACCAACAATACTTGCTGGTTAATAGTTTTCCCATAAGATCTTAATTCGATTCAATCGGCCATATGTACCCAACGGTACCTTTCATTAGCACCTCCTCATTCATAAGCACAATAATCTTTTTTTCTTTTGCCAATCGTTGCCATGTACATAAGAAGTATATATTTTCGGAAAATTACGTAAAAAAGTAAAAAAAAGAACACGAAAGAGGGAGTAGAAAGTGGCATTGGAAGCTACTCTTTCCTTCATTAGATGCAGGGGAAGGCAGAGAGATTTGCAGAGCACGCCACTTGGAGCTAACCGCTTGAAGCAATCTCGTTGGACTAGCTCAGACTTTCTAGAAAATGGCTTTAACCCATCGAGGATGAAGCTTTGTAATTGTTGTAATGGATTCATTTGCTCGGAAATCGACCAGCACGTGTGGGATATGGACATTGCTATCCGAATGACAACTTATAAAGTGCTTGTAGAGTTTCTAACATTCCATCTTGACAATAAATACATATTGGGCACTCGGCTTTGTTGAGGAGATAGATGTCATTACCCCCCATAAAAATCTCACACGGCGCTTTCCTCAAAATGATCGTGCGACGGAGCTCGAGAAGAAAAACCCCGCTCGATGCCCGAACCTCGTGACATTTTCCCGGAAGAATAGTTAAATTGGATAGAAAGCAGAGGGTGAGTCGGGCAATGCTCTCGCCCATGAGCCGAAAAGGTTTCAGAAATGGCTTAACTTATAGTCAATGAAGCGTTGGGATTGAGTAATGAGCATTGCACGTTATGAAATGAGGTCGTTAATGGTTTCATTGGAGTTAAATTCGATGGAAAAGTATGTATCACTTATAATTCAATGTTTCTAGGTACAGAAGCATGGTGGTGGTGACATGAGAAAATTATAGTAGGCGATTTGGGACATACATATATGAAAAATGTGGTATGAACATAACATATTAATAAAATATTTGTCGCACAAACTATTGCACACATTATTTATGAATAGCAAAAGCTCACCCTTGCCACTGTTACAATTGCTTTTCTCATGTAACCCAAAAGAACACCCAGAGCAAATAAGCTCATACAAATACACGCTCAACGGACAAGCCAACTCTCACTTTTTCTCTATATTGGGAAACACTCTGGGCTCACATTATGAGGCTTTCCAATGCCCTAATTACAGCTAGGGTTGTCAAAACCAAACCGGAACTGAAACCGATTCGAATTGAACTGCGCTGAACCGAATTTTCGTATATTTTTAGTTCGATTAGGGTTTCGGTTTGGATAATTAAAAAAATAACCATTTTTTTATTCCGGTTCGGTAAATGGAAAATAGCATCTCTTCTTAATATTGCAATTTACACAATCTATCTCCTTTTTTACTAAACCTTTTTTTTAATATTTCGAAAAAGAAAACTGAAAAGCCAAATTGAACCAAACCAATTGTGAGTCAACGGCAAATTTGATAGAGTTTCAGTAGTCTACTTCCGTCGATTGTGAGTCGACGGCGGCTTCTCTTCTTCCCAGTTGCCACACGGGGGTCACAACACTCCGTGTCTCATTCTGCCTCCAATCTGGATAGTGTACATACAGAATGTGTTTGTCAGTTATTCTTTTTATTAGTTAGTTTGCTTTATAATTTGAGAGACCATTCTTCTTCTTCTTCTTTTTAATAAAATGAAACAAAAAAAAGGCTGCTTGGGTTACATTAAAATAGGGTACTGAAGAAGAAATGAATGCACAAAGAGTTGTGTTTCTATTGAGAAATGCAGAGAAAGTCACAGATCGGCAGAGCACACCACTTCGAGCTAACCGCTTTAGGAACGAAACTCTGTCGTCTCGTTGGAGTAGCTGAGATTTTCTAGTGATCGCTTATCTCACGGAGAATGAAGCATTGTAATTGCAACCATCAACACGTCCTTCTTCAAAATCGGTGAAAAAGAAAGACATTGTATTATTTCTACTGTTAACCAAGTCAAATGGTACAATAGGTGAAATTTTTGTACCTGTTCTCAATTTATAACATAGCACCGAGTCGGAAATTATATCTCTACTTTTGAAATTTGCTAAAAAGTTCTAACTATCTATCAAAAAGATTATGCTCATATTGTCAAAATTGATTTGAAATATAGAGTCCAAGAGAAGGAGATGATTTCTCCAAGTCAAGTTCTATTTTGATTAAAAAAGTGGGAAGGCTAAAGTTATTGAGAATGATCCGTGTTATCAAAGAATCACATAGTTGAATTATTGAATGCCCAATGCCTCAAAAAGATCATGTTATTATATAACGACCCGGAGTCTACCACTGTGTAATATTGTTCGCTTTGGACCTCGGCCCTCACGGCTTTTAAACGCGCTGTCTGGGGTAGAGGCGCAGCCGCACTGCCATCCCTCATCCCAACCCAATATTGTCCTCTTTGGGTCCCCCGCACTGGGGGGACGCACCGCCATCCCAACTAAGGGCCTCCCTCAAGGCTTTGTTCTCAGCACAGCGGACGCTGTGCCTGAAGGGGGGAGAATGTAACGACCCGGTCCGATGAGGGTGAGGAGTGGTCGCTGGGGCCAGAGGGCCCGGACAAGGAGCAGCTCCTGACAAGCTTCTAGGATGGCAAGGGGGGCATGTCTCTTGTCTCACATCGCTTAGGAGGGAGTCCTGGGCTAATTTATAAGGCTTGGGTCCTCTACTTTGTGTAGCGCGTTTCACACAAGCTTCCGCTGTGCTGAGAACAAAGCCTTGGGGGAGGCCCGTAGCTGCGATGGCGGTGCGTCCGCGCCAGTGCGGAGGACCCAAAGAGGACAATATTGGGCTGGGATGAGGGATGGCAGTACGGATGCGCCTCTACCCTAGACAACGCGTTTTAAATCCGTGAGAGTCGAGGCCCAAAGCGGACAATATTACACAGTGGTAGTCCCCGGGTCCCTACATGTAGACATGGCCATGGGCCGGTTTTGGCCCGAAACCAGCCCGGGTCAAACCCCGGACCGGCCCATTAACCGGGCCCGCGGTTCGGAACTGGAACCGGCCCGTGGCCTATGGGCCCGATTCCGATTCCAAAAAATTAAAAAAAAACTACAGCATTATTTTTTTATAAAACAACTTGAACTCTAATTGCCATGCATTGTAAGATTATTGAACTCTAATTACAATGCTTAGCTCAAGTGCATTGAATTCTAATTACAAGGCTTGGCTTGGGTTTTATGCACAATGCTTCTAATGCCTCTTCGTTCCCATTCGATGTGGGACTCTCGGCTTGCCTTGAATGCCTTCAATGTAAGACTCTTGGCTTGTCTTTATGCAAATGCCAAGAGTCCCACATCAAATGGGAACGAAGAGACCATCAAATGGGTTGTGGATAAAATCCAAGCCAAGCCATGAGCATGTGAAGTTGTATGCCTTTCGTGGCTACTTGGCTACGATAAAGGATGTCAAGTTAAGCTTTTTGATATTTTGCTAGTAAAGAGCAAACGGTTCCATTGGACCGCCCAGAATCGGACCGAACCATTGGTCCAATCCGGTTCCCAATTCCATGATTTGCCGGTCCAATTCCCTATTCTAAAAAAAGGAACCGGTATTACCGGTCCAGTTCCCGGTTCCAAGGGAAATCGGGACCGGACCGGGAACCGATCACCCCTAATTTCATAATTCATTGTTTTTTTATTTCATAATTTATTATTTTAATTTTTAAATTACGAATCGGAATCGAGTCGGAATCGGAACCGGCCCGGAACCGAAACAGCCAGGGGCGGTTCCGGTTCATACATGGCCACGAACCGAAATCGGCCGGTTCCGAACCATGGCCATGTCTACCTACAGGGCATGTCTCTTGTCTCACATCACTTAGGGAGGGAGTCCTAGGCTAGTTTATAAGATTTGGGTCATTTACTCTGTGTAACGCGTTTTAAAGCCGTAAGAGCCGAAGGCCCAAAGCGGATAATATTACACAGTGGTAGACCCCGGGTCCTTGCATGTTACATCATTAAGAAGCTAGAAATCAAGATGATTAATCTAGGATATATTAGAAGTAGTCAGTAGAAATAAAAATAAAATAATTTTCGATGATGAAATTCTTCATTTATCTCTATCGGTTTTAATAGTGAATTCGCAGAACACACTAAATAGCTAGTTAACCTCAAATCAAGAAGACGTGGGAAGGGAGAATCATTGAGTCCGAAGGAAATCAGGTGTTCGAACGAAAGAGCAAACTAGGTTTGGATGGAAGTAATAGTAAAGCTACTGTCAAAAGATAAGGCTTTGTAATGAAGATTTTTTACCAAGCTTTTTCCACTCTATTTTGGCCAAAGAAAACGTCATTTGACGGCCTCCACCATGTCGGTTTGGTACGATTACAAATTAGCTAACCCGTGTGAGAATCCCAACTTTGACCAATGAGCATTGCAAATTATACCATTTCTTCAAATCCTTAATTAAAAAAAATGAGGTGGTTAATGGTTCCGATGGAAAATTCTCTGGAAGCACAATAATGGTAATAAGAGAAAATTGTAATAGGCAATTCAGGACCTACTTATCTGAAAATACAGTATGTACACAACACACAAATAAAATAGCTATCACACAACTATCACACACATATTTTATGATCCGTGAAAGCTTACACTTACTATTGCAATTGATTTTCTCGCACGACATGCGAAAACATTTGGAGCGAACTCTTTTTTATTTCTTGCCTGCACGGATGAGCCAACTCCTTTTTCTCCTCCGTCTGAAGCCCCTCGCAAACTTTCAAAGAACCTTAGCTTATCATGTGGCTTCTGACTAGCGTGTTGATGCAGGTGGGCCGGGCGTGTGGGCTTAGGGAATTTTGGCACGGGCCGGACGTGGCTTTTATACGGTGGCGGGCTCATTTTTATGGGGCCGGGGATGTTTTCTTTTTGTGTCTGTGGCTGGGCCTATTAACAGGCCCAGCAGGCTACGGGTGAGAGACCCGGGTCGGGTCGGATTCGGTGATCCGACCCGGTTGCTTTTATAATATAATAGAATATTATTATTTTAATATTAAAAAATATTTTAACAAAATAAAAAAAATAAAATAAAAACCCAAAAATATTTTATATTTTCCAAAAAAGAAGAAAAACCCAAAAAAATAGTTTATTGGCTAATTTTCTACACAAATGCATGGAAAATCTTCAAAAAAAATCCAAATAAAAAAAAACCAAATCTCAAGGTTTAAACAAGATTAGGCACGGAAGGGCATTAGTTGATTAACTAGTGTAATCAAGTCTCCGATCCTAGTTTCTCTAATTGCATTGGCATAAAATATTTCTCCCAATAGTTTACTTAGATTTCTAATCAGCCTATCTCAAACGGTTCACTTCTATTAACTCTCATTATTTCCCACGCAATAGCCACGATAAGTAGATGTTGATTCATGAGATAGAAATACCGACTTTCCCATTTGCGAAATACAATGATAGAAAAAGCCACCAACCGATGCAATGATTGCTTGGTAACTGTGAATGAAGTGATTTGGGTCATTCCTCATTCAAATCTGACACTACTTTTGACTTGAACAGAAGTATGGAGGCATTTGTGAATTGAAGATTCGTTGATGGAACCCAGATAGAGATGGAGAGAGCCAAGCTCGAGAACGAGCGGAAGAGGGCTCGAGAATGAGAGAATGGTGCTTCTCATCCGCCAGAAGGAGCTCCAATTGCTTGCTCTTCAACAGCATTGACAACATTCATCCAACAAAAGGAGTGGCGGTAGCAATGAGGTTTGAAAGGCGAAGGATTTCGAAAGAAACTAAAAGAAAAAACTCCGGCTCAACCCAACCATGGCCGATTTGAAGGTGGAGATGCTGTGTGACTTACTCGATGGAGGATTGATAGCTTTGGACCGTATGCTTACAAGAAGTTCGGGTCTTTCAAAATGGGCATCGGGAATTGGTTGGTACTTCATTGATCAGTTAAATTCCACTCATACTCATCGGCTAAATTTTGCTCTCTTTATGCTTTCTTTTTTTTGGGCATACACTTATTGGTGGAGAGGAATCACAACACAATGTGTGTCTGCTTGTTCCATGAGTTATAAAGGATTTCTAAAGAACACCAGTCTTTGAGACGCTTGGAATTGCATGATTTTGAGTCAAATGCTTCACTAGTGATTGATGATCTATTTCAAGTTCAAGGCCTTAACAGATTGAAAAACTTGAAGGAGTTGCTTTTGGATAGGTGCCGGTCCCTTATAAGACCAAACCTTTCACAATTAACACATCTGAAATTTTTAAGAGTCGTAAAATGCCACAATCTAGTCGAAATTAATGACCTCGAGAAAGAATTGGTCCCCATAATTGGCAATAGCAACATTGTTGAGTTTATGTCGACAGTTGATATGGATACCGACCAAGCGTGTATCGCACAATTAAATCCGTGGTCCAAGAAGACCAAGATTTGGCCTATTAAATGGAGTGAGACTAATCCGCAGCGGCGTAATTACACTTATTTAAGACAAAGAAAGAGGAAATCTGAAGGGCCCATGCGCACGTCCCCCGCGTCCATTTTTCTCTGCATGTGCATGCGTGCCCACAAAAATTGGCAGGCGCCTCGCGAGAAAATATTGGTGTAGGCCCGGCCTCTCCTCGTAATCATGGGCCGGCCCATTCGGTGGATGCCGCATGTAGTCCATGGGTCCCATTTTGGCTTCCGAAGATGGGCGTGACTTCTCCTTAAAAACATGGGCAGTTTTTTCTGTTAGCTCACCAGAAAACCTCCCTCCTCAAAACCAGTTGCTATGCTTGTTGTTTATCCTGAACTGAGTTTAAAAAAAGAAAAAAAGAAAAAAGGAATCTTGCACTCCATGGATGAGGCTTTCTAGGCTCTCGGTGTTGCATTTCGGGGTTTCTTTCTTGAGGTTTCGCAGACTCGGGCATGTTCTTTTATCTGATGGGCTGCGGGGGAATGTCTCTGTTTTTTCATTACATGGGAAAAAAGGTCTGGTTCTGTATGTGGGCATTTGGCCTTGTTGGGGGGTAAAAAAAAAGTGTCTTTATTGGCAAAATCGAGAATAGGAGATTCATTTCTGAGAGGAAAGGAAGATTCATAGGAGTGAACTGAAGATAAAAGTTTGTCTTTTGGTTTTTATTTATGTTGGTGGAAACCAATGGTTTAGGTGGCTGGTGGCGTGATCTTTGGAGGTATTTGTGAACTGAAGATTCGTTGATGGAACCCAGATGGAGATGGAGAGAGCCAAGCTTGAGAACGAGCAGAAGAGGGCTCGAGGATGAGAGAACGGTGCTTCTCTTCCGCCAAGAAGGAGCTCCAATTGCTCGCTCTTCAACAGCAGCAGCAACATTCATCCAACAAAAGGAGCGGCAGCGGCGATGAGGGTTGAAAGTTGAAGGATTTTGAAAAAAACTGAAAGGAAAAACTCCAGGTTACGCAAAGCCTTCGCCTCCAATTCAAAAATTGTTTCGATTGTGTGTTTCGTTTGACCGGACGGCGGCTCTGCAACAAGGAAGAAAGCTCCGACCACCAACCCAACCATGGCCCTTTCGAAGGTGGAGACGCTGTGTGACTTGTTCGATGGAGGTTTGATAGCTTTGGACCGTGTTCTTACAAAAAGTTCGAGTCTTTCAAAATGGGCATCGGGAATTGGTTGGTACTCCATTGATCGGTTAAATTCTGCTCGTACTCATTGGATGAATTTTGCTCTCTTTATGCTTGTTTTTTTTTTTTGGACATACACTTAATGGTGGAAAGGAATCACAATATGTGTGTCTGCTTATTCCATTCCATGAGATATCGAGGATTTCTAAAAAACAACCACCCTTTGCTCAATTCGCAGTGCATGCTGGCAGACATTTTAATGAATTTTGTATGGTATGTTCTGAAATTTTTTAATCCACTGAAAAGTGAAAAGTGGTATGTGCAAGTCTAATACCAGTGGAAGCCGCAAAGCTTTTACTTCTATTTCAATTATTGAAAAAAGGGCATTTGCAATCATGGTATTTTACTTTTTGTCTCGGTTAGTTCTCTGTAATTGGATGCTTTTTCGTGTTTGATATATCTAGGAGACCAAGGTGATATGTGTAGTACCCTTCCTTTTCATTCAGATGTAAGTTCTTTGGCTGCATTTGATGATTGTGTGTAAGTTGACTATGAGAAGTTGAATTAGTTTGTGAAAAAGATTCATTACCCTACTGTTGTTTGCACTTTTCAGCTAGATCGAGAGTTAGAATTCTATAACTAAGACAGGCCAACGCAAGTTGGTTCTTTCTTGAGGCATAGATCACCAACCACCAACCAAGATAACTCATGTTGGATCTGTGAGATGAGGTATCGAATGTTAAAGCTACTACTAGATTGTGTTTCCTGAGTATAAAATGCAGGTACCTGTGTAATCTGCCTTCTAGTTTTTGGAGTGCTTTTGGTGTGGACTTTATGCAGGAACATTCACCATACTTTGGATCCTTGACCCACATAATGCAATACAAAGGGGAAAATGATGTTTTGTTGCTAGCTAAACATCTCTAAACTCTCATCATCATATTGAAAGCTAATTTATCAATTCCCTATGATTGGCCACCATTGTCCAATTTTTTTAAAAGATTTTTAATCCTTGTACAGATCTTTTGTCCATCTTACTCTAATATTTGGTTCAAGTCCATTCATCAGTGATTTTTCTAATATATCTTGCCTTATGCTGTCAAAATATTCTAAATCTCCTTCTCTTTCATACCTGTCTTTTTTCTTTTGTTGTTTTATCTCTGACTTTATTGGGCAGGAATCTGTTTTTAGATAGAAGATGGCAACCCCAGAAGAAAACAATGATGTGAAAACTCTTGAAACACAGCCCAACAAGCGGAGAAAAAAGAAGTCCATCTGGGAACACTTCACAATAGGAATTATGAGTCCTGGATGTAGAAGGGCGTGCTGTAAGCAGTGCAAGCAAAGTTTCGCCTATGGCACAGGCTCAAAGGCCGCTAGCACCAGCCAGCAAAGTAAGATGTGATGAATCATTGAGTGAACTGATCTTGTCAAGTGCAGAAATTTTAGAATTACCTAAATCCATTGGGTATTTGAAAAACTTGAAAATTTTGAATATTGCTTACTGTACGAAACTGAGTAGTTTACTCAGTACTATTAGCAAGTTGATTAAACTGAAGTATTAATTGCCTCATTCTGCCGAAGTCTGGGAGGGGATGTTCCTATAGATAGGTTGTCTTCGTTGAAGATCCTTCGATTAAGTTATACGTGCATTTATGGCTTCCCCAATGCAACTGCAAAGCTTTTTTTGTCTTGAAGAACTTGATTTAAAGGACCGCAGCATGATTCCGAAGCTTCCTACCAGTTTAACAGATCTAGTAGTCAACTGTCATCTTTGCACATTGCCTCAACTTTCTCATCTAATCCATCTAAAACAGCTCAGTTTTCATGATTGCAGAGGCCAACCTTATCTCTTTCGTCCTTTGACAGAGAAGGAACAGATATTTAACAGTTTCAGATTCCTTTTTGCAAAGAGGGCATGTCGACTCAAGTACAATCTTCCTTCTGAATAGGTTTTCTCTTGTGGGTAGGGTGTTTTGGCACACCCTTCACCTAAATACCCTTTCTTTGGGTTGAGTCTTTAGATTCCATGCCTTAGTCCAGAGGGCTTTTGGAATTTGGTAGGACGGTGAGGTTCATGCTTAGTCTCAATGTCCTAGAGTTGGTTGGAGCCACTTTTAACAGCGTAGCCTCCTGCTTAGTTGCGTGTCCAGACTAGCTTGTCTTCCGTCGGTGTTGTTAAGAGTGGGATATCTAGAATATCATTTACTATATGCTCATCAAAAAGAGAGAGCAGCATGTACTCATTCCATTGCACTTCCTTAGTATTTCTATCACCCCATTTCAGCTGGGTATATTCTTGAGCGCATACCCCAAGTACATTTCTCCTGGTTTCCACGCATCTTCAATTGGCATTTTCAGCCGTGCATTTTGTCCCACCATGCAAGCTCTGCTCATTTGTTGAATCCTAAAGCTCCCTATTCAAGCAATTGATTGGACTATTAGCATTAGAGAACTTCTGCTTGCTCAACTTCTTTAGGGCCTCTATTACTTTTTGTAGTTTCTTCAGAAGTGTCATTTCCATGCCTGGAGTATTCCACATTGAACTTACTAGCTAACCACATTCATAATCTTCAAGCCAGCATGCTTCTAACTTCATTTCTCTATTTCTTTTTGCAGGTTCCGCTGAGAGAGTTAGCAAGATAGGACTATGGTCCGAGCCTATAGCAAGTAATGCATATGCTTCCACTTCTGGGATGTCACTATCCATTCTACATTGCATGGAGCTCTATCTAGTCTTTCTAGCACAAAGGCATCCCCAATCCTATTATTTGTCCATGTAAATGCGCATCCTTTGCATTCAAGATCTATTAGAGAGCATGCATTTATAATGTTTAATGTCTCAAAAAGCCACTAACCTATGGTGCTTCACCATTTGCCTGCCTACTTTTTCCCGGTGATACAAAATTTCACGAAAGTCCAATCCCCTCCCCCCCCCCCAAAACCAAATCGAAGGAAGCTGGTTGTGGGACTAATTATTGGAGCATGCAAAAAGGGAATTCTCATATGTTTTCCACTTTCTGTACAAATTAGGTCAAAATTTTCATTTGTGACTGATTCCATTGTTAGTGCTACCCTATCATTCCGTAAAATTGCTAATCCCCTTGCAATTCCATTTGAATTCACCACTGCATTGTTCTGGAATTGGATTCGTTTCAAGCTTATACCACAGGTTCTTGATTCGAAAAATAATGACTGGGCTTTGCATAGCCCCAATGCCAAGATTGTCTAGGGCATGCCCAACCCCTAACAATTCCAGCATAAAATTTTCATGGGAATCTCGGTGGCTTATTAGTGCTAGCCACCAAAGCCCATATCTTAGGATCCTCCAAAATCTGAATTGGAGTCTCCAAAAGTTTGGTCTCATTTAAGGCAAGAGAGTTCGCCTTTTGAGAAGTGTAAGGAGTATACCTTTACTGTGTTTTGTTTCCACCTGTTTTCTTCCCCTTGCTACATTACTTTTGGGGGCCTTTTGAGCTGCCTTCCAGCATTGTAGAGTGGCTTGGAGCTTGTAGCCATTTGGGGTAAATTTATCACACGTATACCAGTTTGGGGTTTTTCGTGATAAAAAAAATTAGTTTTGATAAATTTGTCACGGGTGTACCAGTTTAGAGTTTTTCAGGGTATTAACCCTATTTATAAACATGCATATATGGATTGCAATTAATCTGCTGTGTAACAAAGAGTAAGAATACCTGTTAATAGTTTTCCCTTAAGATCCTACTCCTGAATCGACCATATATACCCAACGATACATATCATTATTCATTAGCACCGCTCTGTGTCAGCCAGAAAGTTCGAAGGCCACGAACTTCGAGAGACACAACCCTTAACTATAGGAGCCTAGCTTCATGTATGACTTAAAGAGCTCCTCATCTTCATTTTCTGACGGAAGCATTTATTTCATATCTTTTTGCTATTAGCCTTATTATCTGCTACATAGTAGTCTAGGTAGTGGTACTACTTCATCCTGCTTGTGATGCCCAACTCTTTTCGAATTTCTGCGAACTTAGACTTGTTAATTGGTTAATGACTATGGCTGCAAATAATTGGTTGGGCTTCCTGACTCAATTAGCCATATGGTAAATTTGTTGATCCTTGACTTGAGAAATTGCTTCAGTCTATATAAGACTTTTAGAAAGCATCGGATCCCATGTGAAATTGTGGTGCCTGTCATTAGGCACAATGAGGTTCCCAGACGGTATCGATCACGCCCGAAATGATGCCTAACTCACTTTGCTTTTCGTTTTCTCCTTTTTCCTTTAATTTATGGGCCACGTCATATATTGTGTTGCTTGGCTTCCTTTCAAGAATTGCAAATTGGCACAAAAAAAAATTATAAACAAGTGGAACGTGAGGTCCCATAACTAAATTGTTTGTCATTAAAATGGGTTGCTTAATTGTAAAACCACTAGTATTAAGAACATGTGGGCCGAAAGTTAAAGAAACGAAGCAAGAAAATGAGTACCCTCCAGTAAAATTGTTTAGTTTTGTTATTTAGTTTTTGTTTTTTTGGTCAGAAGTTTTGTTCTTTAGTTCATAAGTTAATCAAAATCAAATTATTGATGTGCTTGCGAAAAGAAAGAAAGCAAAATTTCTTAGAGCTTAGAAATAAGCTTATAAAATCAAAGACATCTCATGTGCAGATCTAAAATACATATAATGAATCCATCTTATTAGATAAACGCATAGTGGTGCTCCTGAGCTCTTTCAATGTGTTGTTGACATGTGGTATCCTCCACGAGTGACATCTTTCTTTACCTTTTTTTAAAAAAATTTCCTTTTATTTTTTCATTTTACTTGAACTAAAAATTTTCCATCTTAATTCAAGGGGCATACAATTCCTTTCAATATCACGAAAGTCCCATGTTCTTATGACGATCGAGTATGATTATGTCGGTTGACCCTATTCGCTGGACAATGCCTAGAAGGCAACGGCTAAGCATGCGCAGAGGAAGAAAACTTTAAGTGAAAAGGAAAGTTCCGCTTGGAGCAGTGAATGGAATGCTGATCATTCACTGAATAATGCCAAGAAGGCGCCGATCCAGCAGTTTTCTAAATCCAGGTCAATTGACCCGTTTATTTAACTAATTACTTCAATTAGATTAGTTCATTGTAATCATTATCAATGAAGAAATGGTGACTCCTGAGAGCCAATAAGAGTACTTCGCTGTTTGTTAAGGCTATCGACAGTTCGGCTCGGATTTTTAGGAAAATTAAGCCTAATTGAACCGTTTGAGTGTGCACCAAAGACTCGATTTGGTTCGGTTCGGTCCAATTCGATCTTTTAATTTTTCTTTTATTTTAATATTAAGAAGAGGTTTAATGAATAGAGAGAGATTGTGTAAATTGTAATATTAAAAAGAGATGCGATTTTCAGTTCGATTTGATTAATATCCGAACCGAAATAAATAAAAAAAACAAACGGTTATTTTTTCATTGTCCAAATCAAAAGCTAAACTAATCTGAAAATGTATAGAATTTTGGTTCGATTTTTTGGTTCTGTTCTAACACCCTTACTGATTGTTAAGGCTATTAGGGATCATACATCGAGGATCACAAGAAGGCAATGAGGGAAGAACTATTTTAAGTCAATTACCAATCAAATTCTTAGTCCAAATATGAAGGCATCTCCAGATTCTCAATATGAACCGAAGAAATAAATGAAACAACAAGCTTAATTTGAGAAATTTTTGAATTATCTGTCAATCCCTATTTGGCACTTCATCTTCCTGCTTTCCCTTCCTTTTTACCAACAGTGCTATAAATGTGGAGCGGAGACCGTCGGAGTAATCATTTCGTGCTCAACTTTTATACTATCACTATATCGAGGATCACCGGTCAGCATGTATTATTCATTTATGTAATGAACATCTAGTCTAGAACTATACACTCTAATATGTATATGCAATGGTAGTACTCCTGTTTTTGTTTATTTTTAGTGCTTTCCTTGTACCATATTTTCTTGAGACATATGTATATATGTACGTGTGTGGTTTCTTTTTTTGTTATTCAAAAATTGCATGTAGCGGAGAGATTAGTACTTCATTGATGAAATTTGGGGTTTTGATGATGCTAGCGAAGTGTTAGAGGAGTCATAGATAAGCGCTATCATTGTGACATTCCGAATTTCAACCCATTTTTGGGATTTATAAAACGTGTAATTCGTCAGTGTGCTTATAGTAAAATCTCGCCCGGGAACTGATCACTCCCGGTTATTGTTTTTAAAATTGAGATTTCGCTAGAATCGCACTCGATCGAATTTAGCCGTTATTTAGAGCCTAAACTTTGGTGTCGAATTTCTCGGAGTTCCAGGACGAATTTAATTGGACGGTGTCGATATTATTGTGGCCCATCTCGATATTGCACGGGATATGTGGAAAGTGAGTTTTTGACCGGGTGCGGATTTATACCGGTAGACCTCTTTTGCGATGTGTTTTTATTAATACCCTTTGGCCAAATCCCAAATTATTAATTAGGATTTTTCGAGGACCGTTAGATCGTTTTTGGATTCGAATCGTAGCCGTTGGATCGCGATTATTGCGATTTGACCTTTGCTTTTCCTCTCTCTCTCTCTCTCCTCCCCTCTTTTCCACGCTGGTCCCCCGTGCGTCTGACACTTCTCA